CAATCGAATTTTCAAGGCCGCATACCACCACGCCGCCGGCTATCATTCTTAGAAAAGCCTGATGAGACCTTCCCATCGCGAAAAAGAAAACAAAAAACACAGTTCCGTTGCGGCCGGTGACCATCCGAAAGTGTTTCCCCTCCCTGATTCTTTTTTTGTTGATAGATCGTACACGCTCGAAGACCATACACTTGGGTAATGAGTAGAGAGAAGAAAGTTTTCCCGTAGAAAGAGACCGCATGAATTATCCTTGCCACCTGCAGCTTATAACCATCTGCAGGCCCAAAGAGAGAGAGAGAGAGTCTTGTAAACAGTTAAGGACGTGTTCGGGGGCACCGAGGCCTTAGCCACCTCTCATTCCACCGTAATGACGTGGGTGAGATGGCCGACGACCACTACCTTCCTAGTGGTAGTTTCCGCCCCAACCGCCGCGCTGCTGTTGCTGGCCGCCGCTACCGTAGTATCCACTGCCGTAAGCGCCCTGCTGGCCGTAGGATCCGAACGGAGCGCTGCCGTGCTGACCGCCGGAAGCGCCTCCCATGCCGTAGGCACTGTTTCCGTGCAGGTTGTGGCCCTGGAGATGGCTGGGGTAACCGCCGTAGCCACCCATCTGAGAGGCGGACTGGGGCGGGGGGAGACCAGTCTGGCCCGAAGGAGTGTTCGTGGCCGAGCCGGGGCGAGCGCCGCCGAGAGATGGCGAGGGACCGGCACCGGGCTTGCTCTCACCGAAAGGCTTCAAATCATCGTTGGCAGAAGCAGCGTTCGACTGGGCGGTGCTGTTAAATCCTTGTCCAGCAGGGCTCTGGAACGAAGAGGAGCCACGGCCAAAGGTGTCCTGAACACCGCCGAAGCCACTGCTGGCCAGGCCGGGCTGGTTGCCAGACTGGGCGGAACCAGCACGGCCTCCAAAGTCACCTCCAAGTCCTGAGCTTAGACCGCTATCGGCACGGTGCAGAGATGACTGGCCGAAGCCAGCAGCAGGGGAAGAGGCGTGGTCGTAGGGGCCCTGAGGCGACATGCCGTATCCGGGGTGGCCGCCATATCCCTTGTTGCCGCCGTATGGAGCACCGCCATATCCTCCCTGCTGACCGTAGTGGTTTCCGTAGCCCATGTAGCTCGAGTAGTAAGCGTTATTGTAGTAGGGGTGGTTATTGTAGGGGTAGCTTTGTTGGCCGTGAGACTGAGGCTGCGAGGCCTGGCTGGCGGCCTGCTGGCTCTGGGCGGTGGGGTTCGGAGTACTGTGTCCGCTGTTCTGGGCGTCGTTCGTGACACCTCCGTAACGAGACTGGTTTTGCAGACCGCCGCTCTGGGGGTACTGGCTCAAGTTATCAGCCTGCGAAGCATTGTAACCACCGAAAGATCTCTGCTGGGAAGACAGGTTGTCCTGGTGACCCTGAGCTCCCTGCTGGCCATAGGGCTGGCTGTAGTAGTTGTAAGGGGGACGGTTTTGTTGGTCCGCCGTGTAGTAGGAGGAGTAGTCGCTGGGAGCAGAGCTGAAGGCTCCGCCGGGTTGCTGGCTCTGTTGCGATTGCTGGTTGGAGAAGCTGTCGAACTGGGTCTGCGAGGCAGCGGGGTTATTGGACTGAGTGAAAGGATCGATCGACTTTTGGGGGAAGGACGAGGGCTCCTGGGGGCCAGCCTGGCCGAAGCGGGAGTAAGGCTGGGCGGCAGCAGCGGCAGGTTGAGGGACTAGAACAGTTGTCAGTATTTGTGAACAGGTATGAATACGTGACTCTGGCATGGAGGGGGCCATACCCTGAGCGGCGGGAGCCTGGGGAGCAGCGCTTGCGGGTCCTGAGAAGGGTGCATTAGCAAAGTCGGTGACATTGCTAGTTGAAGCAAGTGTACCGGTAGGAGTGGCAGCAGCAGGAGGAGGCAGGCCAGGAGCAGGCTTCTGAGTACCGATGGCTTCAGGAACAGGAGCTTGCTGAGGAGCGGGAGGAAGAGAGGTTCGGGGGTGAGCGACGGGAGAATCAGCGGGAGGCTGAGTCCGGGTCTCGGGCTCTTCGCGATCACCGTCAATGTCATCATCCTCGTTCAAGCTGAAAGCACCAAATTGGACAGCAGCGCGGTCAACCTCACGATTGCCAGGCATGCGGACGGCCTCCTCTTGATCAAGAACGCGACGCTGGTAGCTCGGGGTGCGGGATCCTCTCTCGGTGGTGGCCTTGATGGCGGAAGCGGCAAAGCCGCTGTTAGTAGTGGGAACAGCAGGGCGGATGGGCTGGTGCTGCTGCTGGGAGGCAGACAGAGGTGTCGCGGTGGCGCTGGCGGCGTTGTGGCGAGGATCCCAGGAATCGGCGGCGGTGCTTGCGACGGTAGCAGTCGCGGGAGGATGCGATTCGTCGACTACCTGTTCAAGATTCGTCTCAGTAAGTTGGTCCTTGGAAGGCGGCAAAACCACTTCAGGTTCGATGACGGTTGGTACTTCTGCAGGAGCTGATTCTTCATGGGCGGGTTCCACAGGGAGTTCGACGGGGGCAGCAGGCTCAGGCTGTGCCTCGGGTTCGGGCTCAGGTTCGGGCGTAGGTTCGACGGCAGGGACGGCAGGAGGGAGAGGTTCGATGGGTTCGGCGGGCTTGGGCGCGGGCTCCTCCTTGGGCGGCTTCGGGGCAACCTTGGGCACGGTGGATTGACGGAGCATGCTAGCCCACGTCTTGGGAGCGGCAGCGGCAGGCTTGGGTGCGTCGGTGGAACCGGCGGCGGCCGCAGGAGTAGGAGCGGGAGCTGCAGGCTTCTCGGTCGTCTCCTTAGGGGCCCAGGGGTCTTCGGCGGGTGCGTCCTTAACGTCCAGCTTCGGGGTATCCCATGCGTTCGACTCCTCGGTAGGAACAGAAAGCGGCTGAGCATTCTCCTTGTTATGGCGAGAGCCATTAGTAGCTACTGTGTTTGAGGCCCTGCCCCGGCCACCGCGACCTCCTCTCTCAGCAGTTCTTCCGCGACCGCGACCAGCCTCAGAGACGTTGCGTCCGCCACGAGTGGGTCTAGCGTTGGATGAGTCGATGTTCGAGGCTGCGGTCGTGGAGTCCTTGGCCTTGGAGCGGGGAGCCTTCTTCGTGACTTCACCCCATTGGGAGATGGTGCCTAGAAGCAAGAATCTTTGGTCAGCTGAGAGCACGCAAGCGATGTAGTTAAGCAGCGGTTGAGGGAAGAGAGGGAGGGGAATTGATGGATTGTTGATTCGTCGCGCGGGAGAGAGTTTGGCTGGCAGCCTGACGAGGCAGGAGCCGTGCGCTCACATACCTTCAGCAATGCGGGTGACGGTGAGGTTCTCATCACCATCCGTCTCTTGAAGAGCATAGAGAATATCCTGCTCAGACCAATCGGGGAAGAGCTCCTTGATGAGGGGCGCCTTGGATCCGTACTGTTTCTTCAGCTCGCCGAGCTCGCCTTGGTCCTCAAACGCATCATCGGCGTTGGAGTCAAACTTGTCGCCATTGGGTCTGCCTGAGGTGCGACCACCCCGGCTGGCGAAACCACCTCTTCCACCGCGTGCAGAGCCTCTGCCGCGCGAGGCGGCAGGCCGAGTCTGTACCTCAGACATTGCTGGGTTTCTTTGTATGAGGGGAGGGGTTTTCCACGATGGGAAAATTGGAGGGAATCAATTATTCACTGTCCCGTATCGACACGACAGCTTTGGTGGGGGTTTCTTCAGTTGCGTAACTCTTGCCGGTGAAGAGGAAGAAAAAAAGAGGTAGGAAAAGAAAAGGGTGCCGCAAGGTGGGAGAGACGACGTCGTCGTGATCGTGGCTGACGAGACGAGACAAGTGAGGTTTGGGTGGTGGTGGATGTTGGTGGGAGAAAGACGAGGTGTGGATGGTGGATGGATGTGGAATGTTTGTGCAGAGGCAGACGCAATTGCACTGGGGCACTGGGGGAAAAGTTCAAAGGGAGGTTTTTTGCCCAGGCGCCCAGCAGAGCAGCACACAACCTGGGAGCGCAGGAGCAGCCGACCTTGAGGCAAGGTACCTGCTCAGGTACCTGAGGTACGTAGGTAGCGAGTGTGTGGCAGCTGGGGTCCCGTCAGATTCGCTGTGGCAGCTGGTCCAGTCACAGTTGGCAGCAGCAGCAGCAAAGCCCAGTTGGAGCACGGTCGCGGTAGGGTAAGATACCTTACTAGCTTAGGTAACCCCAAGGTGAAGTAAGGTACCTTAAGTACCAAGGTTCCCCGTCAGCTTTCAAGCTGCCCTGTCTGGGCTGGGCCAGGGGGAGAGTTGGGGGAGGAGAGGAGAGGTGGGAGGTCCCTAAGGTAAGGTAGGTGAGATCTGGGAGTACGTACCGACAATACCTCCACGAATTTTGGTGCTTCTACTCTTTTTTTTCTTGCGTTGCTTCCTTCTTGCTGGTGTTGCTTGCTGCGTTGCGTTGCCCCCATTTCTGATCCAGTCAGGCTAAGGTTTTTGGCCTGAGCGACCGGCTGCAGCGAATGACGCCCCCTTCCGTCCGCAAATGGTTAGTGCGTCGTGATTGTAGCGGGGCATTGCAGATCCACTGCCTCAATTGTCGAGCTGAGGCTGCGTACCGATACCTACCAGGACGCAGAAACTACGTGAGCCTTCGAGTATATGGACACGGTTGCAGCAGCTTCGCCATCTTGGAGGAAAGTAATCAAGCTAAGTATCTCTATGCTCCTGTCGGTAGTATAGGTACCTGACTTGGGGACCTTCCCCTTGGCTGCTGCTGCCTTACCTGCTCAAGTCTTCATGTATCTTTTCCCATTCGTGGAGGGAGAAGATGAGGTAAGAAAGTAAAGCAGTCACGTCGAGTCTTGGACCTTGGATTGAAGGGATAGTTCCTCCAGCTCAGCTCACTTGGAATGGCCACCAGATCCCAAGAGTTTCCGGTAACTGAACGTTGAACAAACGCAGCAATTTGTATAGTAAACAATGAAAGCAATCAACGGAGGCGCCTGGCCAGGTTGCTAATTTATTCAAGGAGCGCTGTTCAGTGACAACCAGGTAACAAAGCAAAACCTGGCAGTGCCACAGCCGAGGCCAGGAATGTTGCAAGTCGGGAAGCTCCAAGTAGCTGTTTCTAGAAAAAAGCATCGTCATTTCCGTCCAACTCAATTCGCCGCACGAAACAGCAATCCTAGTTGTTTGCTCTGCCCATCGCGAGGTCGAGATCCTCTGTGCGTCGGTGCATTCTTCGGATTCTACTGTTATATCCTTCAGCTTCACATCACGGCGTGGTGTTTACATAGATACCTGCCGAAACACGATGGCATTGTCACGTTGTTGTTGTTGTTACGTATCGCCTCTCGCAATGGGTTCCGTCAAGCTTTTGCCCATATGTTGAGGAGAAAGGCACCCTGGTCGACTTGTGTCATATGTTCTCGGTCACGAGGCTGTATCCGTCACTCAGAACCACCCATGTTCAATGGCGAGCTGAAGCTTGAATGGAGGTGATTGGTGTGACTTTCGATGTATGGATAACCAGTCAAGTAGCCGCTACAAGCGAGATCTCGAGCGACAGTGGCTGACCGTGGGCGGCCAAGCAAGCTATTCGCTGCCAGCGCCTGGATCACAGACTCTAGATCTTTTCAAGCGTACAAACTACACAGAACTTATCCTCGTCAGAGAGGAAATAGGTAGCATCTCCATCACGTCTCCAGGCCACTCAGACAGCCAGCCGAGAGCCCGCATTTTGCCCACGCTTTCGATACGTACCGCATTTCTGCCCTGAGCTTTGATGTGGGGTGGATGTCGAGGGCCTCTAATCATCCTGCCTGAGGTGTCAAGAGAACCATCTCCGCATTATCCATATCACATGACCCGTCAGTGGCATGACGGAGGCCCGGCTCGGCGGGCAACCTGACTCCATGGCACCACGATGATGCGTGTCTGATGGTTCTGACCTGCCTTACCACTTCATACTTCCACCAGACGTTCCAAGCACCCCCAGCACATCGTCTTTCTCTGGGACCGCCAACTCCGAGCGGAGAGACATCCACTCCGTACTTCCGCACTTTCGGCGAACACCATCGACCACTGCATAATCTTGCAACAACTTCACAAAAGGCCGTCTGCGCCGACCCTGCTATTTCGATACCTCGAATCCTACGACTTTCACAATGTTCGCCACGAAGCCCCTGAGCTCTATCAAGAATGCCATTCCCTCGATTCACCAGCCGCTACCCCTCTCGTCGAAGCAGTCCAAGAAGCTTCTCAATGTCTTGAAGACATCCTTCCGCAAAAATCTCGACAAAGAGCATGGCTTCGCCCCCGAGACTACCGACTTGTCTGCGGCCAAGGCTACTTCTTCAACACACTCTCCGTCTCGCCCGACCGACCAACATCTTCGCTCCATTCTATCCAACCCGCTATTCAAGATTGGCGCTCAACTCGGCAGTGTCCCTTCCGCAAGTTCCAGTCCTAGAGATCCGATGGACGTCTTCGATGAGGCAGTATCGCGAGGCATGATGACAAACCGTGCGGCACAAGGCTGTCTGAAGGCGAAACGACTGCAGATTCTTCAATCCAGTACCCTGTCAGTGGAGGACTCAATGGCGGCATCTGCAGCTGGATTGCGGGTAGTTCAGTGGTTGAGGTCCTCTGGCCAGGAACGGAACCTGGAATTCCTCGCCGATGTCGGCTTGAGCCGTGAGCTCCTCACGTTCATGGTTGCAGAGGGGCTGGAGGAGGTTGCGTGGACGTGGGCGGACCGACTAGTTCGCGGCGAAGGACCTGCAGATGGCTCCAGCCAGATTGTGGGATTCTTGGTCGCCAACTTGGTGCGGGCGAAGTCTAGATTGGAGGACCGCAGCCTAGATACGGCATTTTCAACAATGCTAAGAGCGGAAACCACTTGGAAGACGAATTCCCAACTTCCTCAGATTCTCTGGCAACCTTTCCGCCATCTTTCCTGGGAAGCCACAGTCGATGCGTGGAAGCGACCACTACCCTCCGCGCCGCTATACGAATCCTTCGCCAGAACCGCTACCTACCAACGACCCCTGATCAAAACTATTAGACTCGACCGCGCACATTTAGACCTCCACCATCCCACTAACCCAGATCATACGGGGGCCTTGGCTGTGCTCCGTTGGTTCCTGGAGGATCGAGGCACCTTGGAAGGCGACGGCCGTCTACCTAGAAGACTGAGGACAATGGCCATGGACATTGTCACCCATCTCACAAAGATCGGCCGGGCTGAAAGTGCCGATACGGTTTTGCGCCTGTTGCACGATAACTCTTCGACCAACCCGTGGCAGCAGCCCGGGCCACTGAACGTGTGAGCCATGTGAGAGGCATTTTCTTTCAAGCTCACACCAACACATCTGCCAGCACACTCGGCATCACGCCTGCCGCCGTCGCCTTGGTAGGTGGATCACGCGACACGCCAAGGTGTCGTTGATCTGACAATTCCTTCTCACACAGGGCCTGCCTGAGAAGATCCAGAGCCGCGCCATCGTCGGTCACCAAAGAATCGACGCTGCTGGCTCTATTCAGATGGCTTGAAACAATCAGGTGGACAAATTAAGTCCGGATTTGAGACTACACCATTTCCTGCAATTGCGAACCAAATGTCCCTGAGATGTGTCGTAATTAACCTACGACTGGATATAGGAAGGCTGATGGCTTCTGGCGACAACCTCTTTTTTTGAACAAAGCTCATGAGATACCCGCAAATGAACAATCATTTCAACCCATTACATGTTTCAATCTCTTCAAGTTGTAGCTTTGGTGATGATGAAGTTCTCATGACTTCAACCCTCGGCCGCCTGTCTATGCGCAAACAACGAATGCGCTGTTTCGACACGGGAGGTCCCTCACACCGAGTCTTACATGAGGGATGAGATGAACCAACAGGCTGGCTTGTTGGCTCGTGCCCAATCACCGTGCAATAGGCCGATCGAAGTTAAGATGGGTTGCATACATTAGTGCTTACTGGTCGAGAAACCCAATCGATTCACTATCTTATTGAATAACATCGAATCTTTACCATAACTCAATGACTGAATTAGACCTTGCTTTGCGTGACTGCACAGAAACTCCACGAGAACGCCATAGAAGAGAAGCAACCCACCCGGCCGCCTTTTCCATATCAGCCGTATGGTATGGAAGAATTGCACAATTTTCCTGTTTACCATTCCGTTCCCCTCTTCACCTACCTCATTCCAGAGATATGAATTCCCCTTCCTCAATCCAGAACCCCTCAAGCCTTCTTCGCGACCTTCACCACAATCTTACCAGCAGCCGACCCCTCCTTGAGCTTCTCATACGCCTTGACAGCATCCTCAAACTCGTACGTTGAATCAACCACAGTCTTGACCTTACCCTCCGCCATCCACGCCGCAATCTGCGCCAGATCCGCGTGCACATTCTTCGTCATGAACGCCTCAAACTTGTGCTTCGCGCCGCCGAGGAACCCCGGCAGGAACATGCTCGGCACGAGACTGCTCACCTGCGCAAACGACACCGCCCCACCCACGAACTTGAAGTGGCCGCCCTCGAGCAAGAAATCGTCAGAGGCCTTGTACAGGTTCGGCGGCGAATTTCCGACATTGTCAACGACGACGGCAAAGACCTTGCCCTTGGCGCGGAGGGTCGAGACGACGTCGGAGGTCTTGTAGTCGATGATCTCGTCGGCGCCGAGGGATTTGCAGAGGGATGCTTTGCCGGTGGAGCACGAGGCTGTAACGGTGCAGCCGAGCGCCTTTGCGATCTGGATACCAAACGTCCCCGTGCCGCCCGAGCCGCCGTTGATGAAGACGTGGTCGCCCGCCTTGACGTACGGCGCGATGGTCTGGTACGCCGTCAGGCCCGCCGTGCCCACCGCGCCAGCCTGCTCCAGACTCTCCGCGGCCCCGGATCCGTGAGGGAAAGCGGCTACGCCGTCGCGCTCGGCGACGAGGTACTCGCTCAGGGAGCCGTGGGTTCCCAGGGGATCGACGCGGCCGACGACGAGGTCGCCAGGGGCGATGTCGGTGATTTCGGAGCCGACGGCGACGGCGCGGCCGGAGAAGTCCATGCCTGGGCAGCGGGGGAAGGAGACCATTGCTTTTGCGACGAGGCCTAGGTCCGGGAGCTTGTAGTCTGCTGGGTTGATGCCCGCGGCGACGACCTGGACGAGGACTTGGGTTGGTTTGAGGGTGGTGGCGGACGGGGTTGGGACGGTGGTTAGGGCGAGGTCTTTGATGAAGGCGCCTGGGGCGGGGATTTGCCAGCGGCGCATTTCGGTGGGTGGTTGTTGGGTCATTGCGAGTGATGTTTGTAGTTCGTGGTGCACTATGGGTTTGGATTCAGGTTCAGGCTGTCTGTTGATGAGATGGAGATGGGTGGAGTGAGGTGAAGTATGAGGTTGTGGAGTTGTGAGTATGAGCGTGAGCGTGGGTGTGGGAGAGAAGAAGTCTAGATAAGGCAGCTCAAGCTTCCTCCCCGCGGAAGCGCCCCGGTCATGATATTAACTTTCACAGACGGTCATTGCTTCCCAAGGTGGGGTGACGGCCACTGACGAAATCAAAAGTCAACCGGGCAGCGCAAGCCGGGGAATGCGGGAACCGTCCCCCCTCGCCAACCATCAGTCAGTTCATAACTCTCTTCCCTCCCTCTCACCGGGGGGAATGGCAACCTAGCACAAGCACGGCCACACCGCACCCGATAAGTCAAATGGCGTCACGACTCGGCTTGCCCCGATCCGGCTTGTTCGCTCCGATCATTCTCCCGGAGACCCCGATCAGACCACGGGAACTCGGAGACTGGTTCAGACGTCAAGTCCAATCCGCATGAATCTTCAAGGTTGATATGAACAGGTGCTCCACCTCGTTGGGGCTGCCGATTGGAAGGAGCGGGCGACAGAAAAAAATTCCTGCGGTCGAATTTTTCTAGAAGAAAGTGGGTTATTTCTTTGGCAGCTACGGCAACCAGTGCATGGCATGAAGTATCTGTCCTGGAATTTCTCAAGGATGCGACATACTTTGCTATCTTATGCAGAGCAGTTACTGTAGCAAACGACTCCGATATTCAAGATTACGGGAACAACATCAGCCGAGGCTCTATTGACTTGTGAATATTGAGCATTCTGAGGTAAAAGTCCACGTAGGAAGGGCTGCATCTGAAGGGTCAATGAAGATAGTCACTCCACAATTCCGACCTATCAGAGTATCGAGGATGCAACGCTGCATTGAGTGGATGCGTAAATGTGGCGGGTCACCCCACTATCAACGACAAGAGTCTTGATGAGGTCCAGGAACATCATTTAGTGGCTATCTGTTTCCGATTGATACTTAGGACTGAAGCGAGCTCATTAGATCTTTCTGCCGAAACTTTCCTGATAATACTTAAAGGCTAGGGTCGATGGGTGTTCACGATCGTTGTGGGTAATTCTTCACCTTCCTAATCGACCTTGTTTAGGATGAATACCTAGGCTATTCGGGCCGGTTGAAAGTCTAAGCCATGGCATTTGT